AAAGCAGGTTGCACGCAAGAGTCCAGTGAGGTATTAGTCGATCGCGTATGAACGTCGTCTACGTAGAGTGAATAGAGAGCTATGAGACGACTCTATAGACTATATTTGTGGTGCGAGAGGATATTATTAGGACGAGGAGTTATCTGGGTTTTCAGTTTAGTGTTCGTAGCGATGATATTTAACATCTTTTGAAACTTTGATTGTGATAGACTATTATCCCGCTGTTGTTAAAGATAGCCATGAAAGCTTAGCACCATTGGATTCCATAAGACCTTGTATTGAAAGAATACACAAAGAACCACAGTAGAATTCCTAAAGACCCTCTAATACCACCGACCGCATGATTTTAAACAATTAAGTATCTAACAGATTGTCTAACCATTAGTAAAACTGCTGACAAACTAGTAACAACTGTTTGGAACATTAGTATTGTCCAAACAATGCCAAAGTAAAAAAGATATATTTTCTATAGAAAACTTAAATTATATGTTATAATCCAGTTCTAAAATTGAAGTTACGATACTTAATTAGAATGCTTTATAACTAGTTCTTGGTACTAATTATTTATGATTCCCTATATTCTATTAATACTAGTTGAATTGTGGGGTTCAAAAATACAATAGAAAAATGAATTTAAAATGAAATTATATTTGAAATCTCAAATTACTCTACTTATCTTAAATCGTAATCTTGTAAGTATTAAAACAAGAATCAACAATCTTATTTTTGCATACTTTATTATTTCATAGTACGATCAAACTAGGGTTTGGTGCAACTCTAGAAGAATCGGAAACCAAACTAAAGGAAGTCGGTTCTTTTATTTTTTGGAACCGGACGAAGAACTGGAATGTAACGGCCCAGCCCATGTGTGATATTGTCCGCTTTTGGGCCAACACAGACCGCAACGGTTTTGTTCTTGGGGGAAAGTGGGAAACTTCCCAGGAGGTCACCCAGAACAAAACGCGGTGCGGGTCCGTGTGTGGCCCTAAGTGGACAATATCACACTGGGCTGGGCCGTTACAATTGGTAGAGCCGAAGCCCGCTCCTCTGGCGCGGTGGTGGGCAAACCTCAGCATTACGCTGAGTCCTCCGAGGGGGGGTGAGCGGTGGCTTAGTGACGCTCTCATCACTTAGGGGCGAATCCCACGATCGGTTTAAGTGCAAGGAAGGTGGATTCTTATGGCGGGTTTAAAAACATGTGTGGGCCTTTGGTGGTGGATATGGCTGGAGAGTTGGAAGAACTCCAGAGGTTAAGCGTGGCTCGCGTTAACGAAAATCCTAGGATGGGTGACTCTTGGTGATAGTTTCCACCAATTCCCCCAAACAAACCATGCGGGTCTGTGTGGCCCAAAGCGGACATATCACACTGGGCTGGGGCCGTTCAGGAACCAAACCGAATCAAGAACCGAATCAGGAAGATTTTCAAGTACAGTTCTTCGATTTTTCAAT